TGTTTCTATTGGAATTTCTTTTGTTTAATCATATACCATGATTATTAGATCATAACTCAATAAAACAACCCATACGAAAATATCTTAGTTATCGACAATACCAATAGATGCTGTTAATCAAGAAAAATATTGTGTTTGCATTGTTGTTTAATAACAATGTTACCTTGCTCTTCTCCTTCTTTACTTTACTTGTTATGTAAGAGGGCGGAAGGTCTGATTCTGATATGAACTCACTGAGAAGATAAATCACAACATGAAGAATAAACAAGCTTCACTGATTGTAATTGGTAATACTCAAAATAACACAAGAAAAAGCCTATTGCTTACTACAATTTTCAATTTTGAGAGTCTATCGCACAAAATCACGAACTAGGTTCTTGATATAGATTTAGTTTTCATGGAACTAAGACACATGTGTAACTGGAAATTAACATCACGATCAGAAATGTAATTTAGATTTTCATATGAGATGCAACTGAAATGAGGTTCGAAGTAATCACTGAAACGGAATGATATTTACCTGGAACTTGACATCAGGGTCAGAAAGTGGTTTTAAATCTTCGAAGGAGACGTAATCAACAGAATCAACAGCGGGAGCAACAGGATCAAAAGAAGTTATGTCTCGTCATTAACCTCGGATCTACAAGCTGTTTAGGGTTAGGTTTTGTGATGGAATTCGAAATTTTAATAGACTTTTTAAGGGGTTCAGGGGTTAAGGGCAATGTCGAGTGACGCCATGGACCGTCGATGGATCAAGCTTCTGGTTACGCTTTCCGAGGCGGAGGTTACTTTTGAAGACGGTGAACTGGTAATTGTCTTCTGGTTTGGAATGTAGAGGGGGAATGGCGTCGATCAAAGGAGATGGAGGTGGTTGGACGCGAGGAGATGTGTGCATACGGAGTAATCTTTTTAACCCTAAAATGCCCTTAATACCATTTAATTTCAATGCCCCCGCCCCTTTATTTTTCCACTTATTTACAAAAATGCCACAATGCATCATGGTCATCCCTTTTTTTGATCTAACGCTCCACTTTTAGTTCTCAGGTTCTCGAGAAACTATGAGTTCTCAAATGATCATTCCTATATATATATATATATATATATATATATATATATATATATATATATATATATATATATATATATATATATATATATAAACACTTCAATTTACTAGTAGTTTTGTCCCTTTCAATATTGAAACGACATATGCTAAAATAAGTGAACTTAACTCATTTTTATATTATAGTTTTCAATATATAAAGTTTGGTATATCGGAATATCGCTGAGACCATTTCATTTTTATCAACTTTCAAATATAAACTTTTATTGTAATATGACATAAACAAACAATGTATTCAAAAAATTTGGGTCTTACACTATCATTTTCTTTACTTTATTATATAGTAACTTTTTTGTACATGTTCTTTGTAAATGATACCAAATCCTTATCGTAATAGTAATATAGCACATCTATCGTCATTTACGATTAACATAGTACACAAAATATCATATCACTGTTATTTGCTCACTTTTATTGACAAAAATGTGTTCATAAAAGTTATTATAACAATATGGAAAATGCCCAAAAAACGTAGACAAAATGTAAATTCTGAGATATTTTAACCATATAATTGCTTTCCTACACAATGTAGAGTATTCGCCTAGTTTAATAATAATGTCTTCCATTATAATTTTTCACTCCATCGAGTCCATCAAGTCCATTCCATGGTGGAACTAAAAAAACCACTAAAGAATGAAATTTAGCAAAATGGAAGAAGTACATTCTATTCCATCAAGCATAATTCTTTTTTTTTAATTATCATGGATCAAGCTTCCAATACTTTATATTTTTAGTTACATATCCTTTACACAAGCTTTACAATACATTATCTTCCTAGTTACATGTCCATAAATCTATCTTTTTTACCTAAGATCAATATCACATTTCGAGCATGTAACCCAATTTATGATTCCACACTTTGATTTATCATTGAAAGATATGGATATATCCAATATTCATGTCGCCGTTATTTTTTTTTGAGAAAAAATCACATGTTTGTTTTCCTTTCATTAACATTAGAGAACCTTCAACTAAACATCTTCACCAAAATACTTATGTTCATGCTTGGCTAAAGTGTAAGAGAAAGCAAATTCTTCTAAAGGTCATGAATATTTCATCAGTCGAGTGATCTGACTATACCATCGTGAGTCTTAATCTACATTGTGTCATTTTCGATATACAACATATCCCATTTATCTCCCAACTTTATCGTACCGTTCCAATCTTTAAAGGAAACAAATAAAGCATACGAGAAAGTCATCTATTAAGGTGGACTCATGTACAACGTCTATAAATCTGCAAAACTAGTCATCCATCCGGTCAAAACCTCACACTTATATCCTTCATCAGAACTATCATGAACAACAACTGTATTATCGTTATTTCTTGGTTCTCCCTTACAATTTCCCATTTTTGTGGATAATCTCTTTTTCAAGTTCCCATGTTCCTTGCACTGATAGCATTTGACTTTAGCATTCGATTTGGAACATGACTTCCCCGTGTTTCCATCATCCCTTTTTTTACTTTTCTACCCCTAGAAACGAACAGGCCAAACCAGACCCATCTTCGGTACTACAAACCTCTCATTTTAGCTCTTTAGACAACAAAGCATCATTAACATTATTGTTGTTCTACCATACAACATGGCATCCACAAAATTCTCATATGAATTCTGTAGCAAACACAAAAGAATAAGAGTTTGATCATCATCGTCATCAATTTTAGCCTTGATACCTTGTAAATCTACAACAATACTATTAAAAGTGCTCGCATGTTCTTTAACTTAGAGTACTTTCTAACATTTGGATATATACAAATGTTGCTTCTGATGCAGCTGATTTGTGGGAGTATTCTTCTAATATTTGTGACAAGGTTTCTGTCATAACTCAACGACAGTTGTTTAATCCACAACTTTGAATAAAACTTTGTCTATCATACATAAAAGAATCGCACTATGCTTGTTTGCTAAAATATTTTTCTTCATATTTGTTGCATCAGAAGAGTCTTCATCTTTACCTTCCATAAAATGAAGTCATTTGAGCCATTAAATTTATACAAATCAAACATGTAAGATACATCTCTTTAATCAACAAAATAAACCATTTGAATGATCTTGCTCTCGTACCACTTGTTATGTAAAGCGTTTAAAGGGAAACAAAGAAAAAATGACAAAGAATTTTTGTAATTCGCCTACATTTACAAGCAAGAACCGAAGAACTCTTATTCATCATGCATATAGTTTTTCACATGTTACATTAGGAAACTAGCTATGAATATTATAAACGTAAACCTAGTTCATATGGTGTCGGGGCACATAAGTAATAACTCCTGAAATATTTGAACATGTAACAAAGTCACGTCGAGTCATAAACCCATTTGGGTCGCCATACAATTCCAAGTTACATTCTAACAAAGGTAATAAGTTATCCAATGTCAGTTTTAGGTTTTCACAACTTTTTTACCGTCAAAGTTTTTAAACATAAGTTTTTTTTTTCTTCATAATTATCAGTTATGGAATGCTACAGTACCACCCAGTTTGACTTGAAAATTAATTGGTAACAGAAGGAACGATATCTGGCATTTCAATCGTTGGTGGTAGTTTCTACATATTATTGTTGCTCTAATGGTTAAAAGCAACATATAAGTTAGTTTCAGCTCTAGTTTACTCGTTGGTAAAAGATTGGCTACAATACATGTATCAGTTTAATTTGGTTCAATATGACTAAAAAAACCTTTGATGTGGTTATCCACACAACTTATCAATGTTAACCATTTTAACACGCCAAAATCCATAAAGGTTCTTATTTTGAATTTTTGATAATATTGTAGTTCAATCTTATTGTTGGCTTTCTAGTTCTAGTATAAACCATAGAAAGAAATTGTATTAGGTTAAACAAACTAAAGATCCAAATGTGACGCTTTATACCTTGTAACTTCGGGAAATCTCCGATAAAGCCCTAATATTTTGGGTCAGTTTACGGTTTAATCCCAACTTTTATTTTTGACAGAAAAATCCCGATTATTTTATATTTTGCTCAAATTAATGAAACAAACTTTTTTTAACAGAAAATGACAGATTATCGTATAAAATTAGATAATCGGGATTTTTCTATTCAAAAAATAAATGTTAGGATTAAACCGTAAACTGGCCCAAAATATTGGGACTTTATCGGAGATTTGCCAGTGACTTCTTCAACTACTTTTGAATAAAATTGCCGTTTAAGAAAAAAAAAAGTTAGTTAGAGTCTAAAGCCTTATAAAATCAAGATTAATCAATATTTGTCAAACGTTGATAAAAGTTCATTTGGTTTTTTATTACTTCATATTAGAAAATCCCTTTTCAAAACACATATCCAAACATCTTCAAATAAAAAGCAAAATAGTTAAAAAAAAAAAAATGAAAAACAAAGTATAGCATATGATAGACATGTGAAATTGATAATAATGAGTTGGGAATTTCCAAATTCTTACATATAGGACCACAAAGTTCTTGCCATATTTACAATGGTCCCATCCCATTTGACCTCAATACCCATGTGGTCAAAAGGATCTTCAACACTTATTAATTTACTCTCTTTCTCCTCAAATTTTGTCCCCAAGATTAATAAAGACGACCAAAAGTACCACTATACATTTTTGTTTCACTCTATGCTACTAGTGCTACTATGTTTGTTAGTATGTGGGGATAGGTTTCAGAAAATGAGAGCTCATAGCTCTCATCTTTCATTAAAGAGTGGTCCAAATTCACCACCATAATTGACAATTGAGATTTGAGTTTGTGTTTGTTTGTCATTTGGTCTCATAGATAAGAAGCATATTATCTTTCAATCATAAGTTTCAAACTTTATGGTTTCCTATATTGTTTTAGCTATATACTTAACTTAATCTTTTTGGTAACAACCTTTCTGAATGAGTTACCACTAATAAAACTAGTACAAGTCATTGATTATTAGGTAACCGGTTTACACATGGTCTCCTCAAAAATTCTTTACATTATATATATACAACAATACATATCATTCCTAATCAAAAACTAACCGATTCCAATATAATCAAAAATCAATCAAACAAATCACAGCCGTCCATTTCCAAATCATCATCAACGGCTCAAAAGTCAAAACACTAGTTGTGATTTGTCTTGCTTTTCTTAAGCATTGACGCGTGGGTCCCACCAATGAGATGATCTATAGCCTCGGCTGCAGCATCTTTTTCAGCTTGTTTCTTGTTGTGACAAGGGTGGCCTGTTATCTGCAAGCCATTAAATTCACAAACTGACCTAAACTGGTTGTTTGGCAGCTGGCTTGTTCGGTAGATTGGGGCAGGGTACCCTGCCCGGGTCAGTAGTGTCTGGAGCTGACTTTTTGAATTGTCGCCACCTGGACCACTTTCCACCCTGGACACTGGCGGCAGTTGTGTTTGTGGTTGTTGTGGTGGTGGTGGTGGTGGAGGTACAGACGCGATGTATGGTTTTGAATTGTTGTATAAAACCTGGCGGTTGAATACAAATCTGCCAATGGATTGATCTTCAGGGAGGAGTAAGCGCACAGCGGATAAAAGCTCGTGGTGGGTGTGTAAATCCAATTTGGGATTCAATAGCTGAAATGAATTTTTATAGACAAAAATCAATTCTTGGAGGACTAAAAGTGAAAAATAATGATTTATTACTTACTTTATACTGGAATAACTCATCGAGCTCTTTTCTTAAGTTGAGATACATTTCAGCCAATGAAGGTTCCATGAAGAACTCCAAGTATCCTCCCAACATTTTCAAGTGCCCATCCTGTTTCATATCATATCATATCATGGAATGGAATCATTATAAGAAAGGAACAGAATGGAATGGACAATGGAATAATAGACTTACTATATCGCCTTTTGAGATGCTTCCACCGAACAGTAGCAGGACGGAATCGGAAACAGCAGTTGTATCTCGGAGAAAAACAGAGTTCACTTTGATCTTTTCATTAAAGACCAACCACGGGAATGGAATTCTCAAATCCCGGGAATTAACCGAGTTCTATAGCAATCAAAAAAAAAAAAAAAAAAAACAGATGAAAAAAAAAATAAAGTTATTAGAATTTAGACAAGCGAACTTACCGAGTGTAAAAGCACCTGACCATCCTCCATGGTTTTTAGCGAGAACGACTTTTCATTATGCTGATGTCAGCAAAAGTGAACTCAACATGAGTGTTATTACTTACAAATTTATAATTATAAAGAGATTAATTTTTATTTTATTTTTTTAAAAAAAAACTTACGACAATGGAGGAAATTCCGGGATACAAGCCGTAGCAGATAATTGCGCGAATGAGATTTTCATCATAACTCCAAGCATTGAAAATGACCATATTGCCATCAACAAGACCAGTATCTTTAAGCAAAGATAAAAACTCCCTTCTCAAAGAATCAATAGCTTTCATGGACTGAGCAGACAGAAAATTCTTCCAACAATATTCATATCCACCAAGTGCATGTTCAGCCACTTTCCAACCCTCATACGCCCTCACAAGGGCAAAATGGTCACTATGATCTTGCGAAAATTGCGCTTTCACCGCCTCCGCCAGCTGTACAAAAAGAAAGAATTATTTTCATAAAATATAAATTATTATTATAAAAAGTGACTTACTTCTTTTTTATCTAAAGGTGCTAAAAAAGGATCTCTGACACTAAGTCCAGCAACAACTGTGAGTATTGGATCAAGGCAATTAAGAATTGCTCCCAAAATCAACATTTTTCCAAGTTTCGGCTCCACAGGAAGCATTGTCAAATAACGACCTATAAAATGTAGGTTGCCAAAAGTTTATTATAAAAATTTTGGAATATAAAAAAATAAAAATAAATAAACATATACCAAGTACAGTTAGATCTTCATTCTCATCTAAAGCACCAATAATCTTGAGATACTCAATGGCATTTTGAACCTACAAATGGGAAATAATAAGTATGATATTTTTTCCTTTTTACAGCATTGTACTTATTATATATAGATAAATCCATTGAAAAATGAGGAAGAGAAATTACTGCTAATAACTCGGGTGATTGTAGAGCTTTAGATAAGAATTCAGAAATACTTCCAAGTTTTAATGTTTTAATTTGAAGACAAAGTGACTGAAGAGGTGTTCTCAATATTTCAGGCAACTGATATTCTGCAAAAGCATTGAAGACACATCGAGGGTATAAATGGTAACATTCTCCTGGCTGAACACGCCCTGCTCGACCTCGCCTCTGTTAATCATATCAAAAACAATATAATAATCAAATGATACAGAAAAATATAAAAATTACCAAAATACCCTTTTTCCCAAGAAACTCACTTGTTTAGCAGAAACTTTTGATATCCAAGCAGGAAGGAGACAAGGGGTATTATTCAAAGCATCATATGATGTTTCTTTAGCTTTTCCACAATCAATAACAAAAACAACATCATCTATTGTGATACTTGTTTCAGCCATATTTGTAGCCAAAACTATCTTTCTCACCCCATTTTCTGGCTTTTCAAATATTTGTCTCTACATGAAGAAGATAAAAAAATAAATAAAGATTAAAAAAGTTTTAGTTTTTTTTAATGATATTAGTTTCTACCTGTTCTGAGCTGGCCATAGAGCCATGACATGCAAGCAACAAAACTCGATTTGCATCCCCCAAAAGATGATTTGCTTGTAACTTTTCCTTCAAAGAACTTATGTCATCCCATCCAGTCATAAATACCAAAACTGCCCCTGGCTTTTCACTCCCGCATATACTCAATAGTAGAAACTCAATGAGATTGAATCCCATGCAATCAGGATTCCAACATGACATAGACTCCCGAGTTTGTGGACTATAGCCTCTAAAGTCAGCATACCCAAGTGCCTCCTCAACAGCTGAAGCAATTTGGCTTTTCCTTTTTCTAATAAATTGTTTATTTGATTTCCATGTTCTTTCTTGACCATAATCATCGATTTGATTCTCTGCTGTCAATCTGTATCCAGTTGTTTCCAGAACATCTTCAAGAAAATAGGAATGCACAGGGTGCGTAAAACCCTACAAGATTTCAAAAAATTAATTAGATAAATAATTAAACATGGATAAAATTTACAAAAAAACAAAATATTACCGGAATCTGAACCACTGGAACACCACCAAAGTAGGTTGAAAAAAGATTTGCATCCAATGTTGCACTCATCAAAACAAGCCTTAATTCTGGCCTTCTAGGAAGTAATTCTTTCAAAACAATAAGCAGAAAATCTGAAAACAAGAAAGAACTTTAATTATTTTTTACATATATTTAACCATAATAGTTCTATTATAAACATTAATTACCTTCATTCATGCCACGTTCATGAATCTCATCTACAATAACATGAGTAACATCTTTCAGGTTTCTATCAACAAGTAATCTTCTCAACAAGATTCCTGTAGTGCAAAACAGAAGGCGAGTGTCTCTTCCTTTTATACCCTCTAACCGAACTTTATATCCAACCTTTAAGAAGAAAGAAAAAGGTTTAAATTTAATAAAGCTATGAGAAAGTCAATGAAAGTCAAAGATTCTTGGGGTAAATAAAGTATTGCTTACAGTTCCACCCAATTTTTCGCCTCTCTCTGTGGCAATTCTTTCTGAAACAGACATGGTGGAAATTCGTCTAGGTTGAGTGCATATGATACTACATGTGGCCCCACGAAAAGAATCAATCTCTGATTCTAGAATAAACTGAGGAATCTGTGTTGTTTTCCCACAACCGGTTTCACCGGAGATGATAACAACCTATAAAAAAAATGTATATTATTTGAATATGCATATCTGCTATCTTCACATAAAAGCTTGACTTTACAATGAAGTTAGAGTTGGAAGGTTCAAGAACAACTTTAGTGATGAAAGAGGATATAAAAAGCATCAAAAACTATGAAAGAAAGTGTATGAAATACCTGATTCTGTGAAATGGCATTTAATATTGTATTTCTCTCTTTGTAAGCAGGGAGATTTTTACGAAGCTGTTGCATCCTCCAACCATCTGAAGATTCCTATAATAAATGAACATTTGTCATAATAGTATTTGTACTACTATTATTTTACATATTCAATTCTTTAGATTTACAAAATAACAAAGTGCATAACATTACCACATGCTATCAACAAATAACTATGAATGATAATAACTGGAGAAACAATTAGTACCCTTTAAATAATAACCATGAGAAAGGTCTCTAGAGATAAATAAAACTTTGAATCGTTAATTATCAACATTTAACATTAGTCAACTGACAAAAGATCTACATAACAGGTCTAAAATCAGTTCTTGATTAGTTTTAAGAATTGAACCTGCCAAGCTTGTTGTTCAGCCTGCAGTTGCACACTCCTCCTCCAAAGGAGTTTCTCAATGGCAGCCTTGCCTTGTGATGACAACTCTGGTAGCTCAAACAAACTTTCATCAGTACCATTGCTACCTGTCTTTGAAATCAAATCATCTTGAGACCGTTTCATACTTTCAGCCTTAAAAGAAAGATACTCTTTCAAATGAGCATCAACTCTCTTTTGCAACCCATCAGGCAAGGCCACCTCCCTCTGAGGGCGTTTATCATCAAGATCAAATCGGTAGTTTGGCAATGGAACCTTGCTAATGACAAGCACTTTGGCATACAAGTGGCTGTCAAGATTTAGAGGGAAAAGGTTATTTTGGTCAATAATATATATATAAGTAGGCATGTGTGCTAACTCTTGAGATGATGATAGCACCTGTGCAAACCCATGCTAGTTGCTAGGGCTGATATTTGTTCATAGTCACGCCTGTCTTTTTTTTCCCTTGAAACCAGTTCTTGTTTATCCTTGCTGTTTATTAGTGTTGTTAGCTTCCACTTCCAAGATTCTATATCAGATGTGTAAGCACCCTGGAAATGTATAAAGAATATTAAAATACAACAGCAAGTTTTATGATTGATTCCTAACAAAAAAAAAGAGACCATGTTGATATTTTCTATGATTTCTTGCAAGTTTTATCATTGATTCTTCCTATGATTACTTCAAATTGCACACAGTGATGCTTGTCCTGACAATTTTACGAACCATAGCGCTTAGTATCACTTAAGAAACGACACAATGATCGAAGTGAACTGAGGAGGAAGCATGTTACTAAACACTTACGTTATTCTTGTCATGAACTTGGTTAAATAACTTCAATTATATTCTTTACTAAAAAAACTAAAATTCCTAATTTACAAGGAATGTAGCTAAATAAAACTCACAGGATGGAAAGAGAAATCGAATTCGCGATGGGGGGCTTCTTGAGAGACGGCAACGGCCTGAGATTTCATAATTTGGTGAGGAGGCAAGTAAGGATAAGGAACTGTAAACCTATTGTTAATATTGCTCTGAGATGAACTAACAAAAGAGGTTTTGTTGTCAAGAACAGCATGAGGAGTAGATGAGATATCGGGTAAAGGGGCAGGGACAGGGGCAGGGACAGGGGCAGGGGCAAGGGCAGGGGCAGAGGTAGTGACGACGGAGCGAAGGCGATGGTGTGGAGGCACGTACACGGAGCCGTACGAAGACGGACGCGGTATGTCCTTCATCGCCGTAAACGGTGGTGATTGTGAGGTTTTATCAAGGGCTTTAGGGCACGAAATATAATGGTGAAAAGCGATTTACATACACAAGAAGGCTAATTAGCCACCGCACCAGGATGGTGGTATGTTGTCAGTAAAACGGCGGCGGTGGCGACGGGGACGGTGAAAATGGTGGTGAGGGTGCTGATAGATGGTTGAATCCGGTGGATTGCTAGAAAGGGTTTGGTTTGTACCAAATAAATTTCAGATGCAGTCCTGAGCATATACCAATAATAACATATTATTATTTGAGAACTGAAAGAAAGAGTTGTTCTTTTTTTTCATCATTAAAAGGACATGATTATTGCTAAAGTATTTTATAGAATAAAATCATAAAATGCTTTTGAATGTAATAATATATTGTTTTTAGGGTTATTTAAATAATAATAAATAAATAAATAAATGACCATATCATATTGGATTTGACTAACTATTTTGTTACTCAACGAAATGAAATGAGCAATGAGTCTAGAAACGTAATGTTCCGGACTATACTAAAATCATGTTGGATAATTTAGGTTTTGATATGATATGAATCTTTTTTTTTACATGTATTGGACTTAAACTGTCCGTTTGTTATCTCAAATATATATATAAAAAAAATTGAGTTTTGTAGTGATTAATTAGTTTAATGTTGAAATCATAAGTATATATAACTAATCATAAATACATATAAGTTTGTCGTCACGACTTGGCATCACTAGACCATGTTGTGGTGATCTTATATTTTGCGACCATTACGACTTCAAACTCGACACCACGTCGTGGCTGATGTTCAGTACACTTTTTGAAGAATGATTCTTTAGTTCATTTCGATCTGGCTCATTTATATTCACAAGAAGAGAGCTCAGAAGTACTGTTTTCAGCCATAACTAAAGAAGTCCAAGTTTTTCTACTCACTTTCAAGAATTCGATCTCGCCACTAGTATTTTAGGGGAGTCTGTTCTATTTTCTCCTCTTTAATTTTATGTTCTTTAATTGTTTAAATATGCAATGGGGACATCGCATCATTTAAGTGTGTGGTAGGGGGTTGAATATAGTAATGCAAGCATATTGATAAAAATTTGAAAAAATGACTAGGATTTAAACATTATTAGAAAGATTTGAAAAAAATAATCTAAAAATTGAATCTAGTTAAAAATTGTTATGTTGAGATCTAGGTTGCTAGCGTTGTGTAGGACAATCTGATGCGAGTTTCGATGTTTATTTGAGCCAACATATGTTCTAATGTATTTGTGGCTTCCCTATCCTAGTGAAATCATGGAACAAAAATACAACCTTGCTTAGTTTGAGGGTCATAATATGTTTAGCATTGTGTATCAGAAATGTATCCAGTAGAGCTTATATACTCATTACCCCTTAGATTTAATATCTCTAACCAATAAGGTTGAATTTAAGTTCCATTGCTTAAGCATATGTTTTTATAGGATTTTTAGTTTTGAGTGAAAAAAGTGAGAAAAAATATAGAAAAGTAAAAAAAAAATTGCAAAAGTTTGAAAGAGTCTACAAAGTTATGAAGATCAAGAAATATCATGAAGAAAAGTTCAAAAGTTCCAAAAGTTGAAGACTCAAGAATAAGACAATTTGCCAAGTTATTATTGTATTTTTTTATTTTCTAAGTTATTTTTCCATATGTATGATTGGGGACTTAACCAAAAATTATCTTGAGGTTAAGAAAGATTTATGAGGATATATTCGGAAGGATGCATAAAATGAGTGTTGTTCAAAAGAAGTGAGGAAGTGTTTATGAAGATTGTAAGTATATTTAGGATTGGGGAAGTTCTTAGGAAAAATTAGACACAAATACATGCATTGTGGTCTTGATGTAATGGAGAGGCTCAAAATGGATTGTCTTGTGCGATGTTGGTGGCTAGAGTTTTTCTATAATAATAATAAAATTAGTTTTGCTTGAGGGCAAGCAAAAGTCAGGTGTGGGGTATTTTAATATGTGCATATTTAGTCATATAATTCATGCATATTTCTTAATACTTTTAGTTATAATTATGCTTAATTCGGGGCAAAAGGTATTTATTATGTTTGAAATCTGTTTTGTAGTAGCAAAGACATGCTTAGGACAAAAAAGAAAGCAAACGAGGAGTTGGAAACATGAATGGATGAGCTAAAGCAGGAATGAAGAAAAAGAAGACTTGAAGATAGAAGACCACGACATGGTGATCGTCCACCAGACCACCACGACGTAGTGAATGGAAGATTCCTTATCATTAACGATGACTTGGAGAATACGGGATTTCGACGAAGACCACAACGTGATGGCGGTTGACCACGTCGCGGTGACCAATTTTATGGAAACTATAAGTATTCGATTATTAGGTCGAATGTAGAGACTTCCAACAGGCTTTCTGAGGAAAATTGCGACTAAAAACCTCTGGAAACCCAGGAAAAGATCGAGAAACAAGTGGAGCTCAAGGATTCACGAAGATTAAAAGAATTATACACAGATTTAATTAGTCTACTCATGTCTAGTCTTAATTACATAACTTTTATGTGTTTTTCTGCTATCATGAGAGACTAAAAACTTTTTACTTCTGTTTGGTGAAGATGAACCTAATCCTTATGTGTTGATTTCGATTATTAGATGTTTTATATTGATTTTACTTGTGTTTGATATTTAAAACCTAAAATGTTTTAGTTCTAGTTTATATTGCTTATTAATCAGATTCTGTGTGATAGATCAATCATTCTAATTGCATGAATTTGTCACATAATTATTTATGATCATTAAATAATTAGAGCTAAGATTTTTCACATATTAGATTGAGTAATTAAAGCTAGTAACTTTAACTATGTTAGAGAGCATAATTAATCTTAATTTCTGCTTGGTTGCTTAACTTGATCATAGTAAAGTAACTATTATCATTCATAGTCCAATTTGTGCTCGTTGTCGATTTGGTGTTTAACTTGTGCTTGATCATTGCATGGTAATTCATAAATTGATAAGTCTAGATATTTGATCATAATATCTAGTTAACAAATTGGTAATCAATATATTTTATCCACTAGAAATCAACCTGTAACACCGTAAATTTTCAAACAAATTTTCATTTTTAAATCACATAATTTCTCATTAGCACATTTCACAAAAACCCCAAAGTGTTAAATTATCAAAAACACAAATCCATAATTGTTTAAATAAAAAACCAGGTTCCTCAAAAACATGACTCCATCTCCTGTGTACAATCAAGCCGACGCCTTCCCGCGATCCTGAGAAGTACCTGAAACACATATCACATAACACGGTAAGCCCAAAGCTTAGTGAGTTCCCCAAAATACCACACACATCTCATTAGCCTCTCATGGCTATCTCTCAATAAAGACCCTCCGGTCGATGTGTCTCAGTGGAGACCCTCCGGTCCCACGACTCGGGTTGGACCCTCCGGTCCTAACTCAGTAAAGCTCAGAATAATACACAACATAAATCACAAAGACATAATGCAGGATATCACAATACTCAATAATATCATACAAGACCATCCGGTCACACAAGTTACCACTTATGGTAAGTATAGTGAGAAGACTCACCTCGTAAGCAAGCAAGTAAACCTCGTACCCCTCGAACGGTCTAATCCCCGCCTACATGTCATAACCATCTCTAATTAACACTTATAACCACAACTCTAAATAGATTCGGTCATCCTCTCTCCCTAACTCTTGGGATGGGTAAAAAACCATTTTACCCCTCCATGGTCTCCATAATCCAAGTCTTGACCAAACCCTAAAAGTCAACAGAAGTCAACACTCGAGTCAACAATCCTTGTTGACCCAACTCGTCGGGTGCATCTATGTGACTCGTCGAGTCCCCTCGTTTCCTCAGAAGTATCGTGAAAATCCAACTTAACTCGTCGAGTTGTCTCATCAACTCACCGAGTTACACGTGTCCAGACTCATCGGGGAAAACCCTAACCGACTCATCGAGTCAGCTCACCGACTCGTCGAGTCCTTTCAAACCATTTCCTCATTCAGACGTTTTTAGGCAGAAATGACGTCTCATACTCTGGATCTAATCTTCTAAGGCTCACTTATCACGTAAAGCTGCAAGCTTTACGTTCATGCATGGCATATAGGGCTCAAAATGTCATAACAAGCTCTATTATAGGGTTTAATGCATAAAGGCTTGCCTCTAGCTTGATAAAGCTTGGATCTTTGGGCTCAAAGGACCTCCTATAGTCCAAATTTGAGGTTTCAATCTCATGACATGCTCATATGACTAAATAATTAACCAAAAGATGGATGAGAGAAACCCTAAAACTCCCTAGGATGAGATCTAACAAAAGAAATGGTCAAGATAGCAGCTTTTTACCTCCAAACAAAAGCTAAAAATGAGTGAACACCGGATCCAGAAGCTCCTTCTTGTCCAAGGTCTCTTGCTCTTCAACTCTCCTCCAAGAATGCACTAAAACCCACAATATTAGCCTCTCTTTCCCTCACACAAGGTTACAGCTCGGTTAGGGTTTCTCACAGTGTAGTAGGGTGACAAGGGTGGCGGAAATGAGGGCTTAAGGTCCTTTAAATAAGACACAAACCCGGAAAATTAGGGTTTCCTCGCACAACTCCTACTCGTCGAGTCGGGGTCCTCCGACTCGTCGAGTAGACTCTAAAATCCCACGGCCATAAAAGTCTCTACTCGGCGAGTTGGTGCTCCCCAACTCATCGAGTTGCCCTGTCAAAAGAAATAAAATAATTAAATATCATACCTGGGAGACGGGATGTTACACAACCATAGGAGAAGGTGAAAATCGGATCTAAGGAGAAGTACTCTTTAATTCTTGAAGTTAATTTGTGTTTCTTTGCTTGTTAGTTGATATTAGTTGAATTAAGTTCTTCTAATCTTGAAAAATCAGTAAAAACCCCCCAATCAAAGTTTTTTTCTTGGTTTAATTAGAAGTAATTATTTTATTTAATTAAATTTCATTCCTAGTGTTCGACACCCGACTTACCCAAGCTATTCTATAATCCGACTAGGTACACTACCTATAAGTGCATAGATAGTTAAGTTTTCTTAGGTTATAAATTTAAAGCTAGTAGGTACTTTTGTGCACATCATTACTAATCCATCATGGTGGGGATCCTGGATGTCTTCACTATCTGCTTCATCGAATGTGATTTCCTTATTATTCGTGACCGACGTATTTTTTCAGGGTCTTTCTTCTTTTTTCTGTTTTAGACACTTTGGTATGCCTTTTTGCTGCAGAATAAGAAGTTTTAC